AACATATTTCAATATGTAATATCAATATTTCAAAATCAATATTTCAGGCATGTGTTAAAAAAATGAACCACAGTAGAAAAAACTGAGCTGTAGACTGACTGTGCTTTAGGAAAGTCAGCAATGCTGTAGTAATTTGATCTGGCCCGGCCTCTACTCTCCTGCCCTGGCTTCCGTTCACACAGAGTCCGGGGGAGACTCTGATATTGCCACTATCTCTTTTACCCCCTTTATATAGGTTTAGTCGTCGATGTTTTGAAGCGTGCAGTCCTTCCCTGTGCTATTTAGTTCAATATCCTTCACTCTGTATTACTGTTTGCTCAGGATTAGACTCGGTTGGTACAATTCAGTTGACATGGAATGGATGCTGTGACCTTACTAGGCAGCGTTTTGCATGAATATCGACCATTTGTCCCTACTGGTGATGGCCATTTTAATCACCTGACTAGACAGTACCCAGTTCTCAACTGTGTTACCATTGTATGCTTTCAAATAACAAGCAGTGTGGTGTCCTATGACCATCCTAACTGTCTACCGTGATACACAATTATAACCCTCCTACAATATCTTTGTGTCTGGAAGTGAGAGTTAAAGGAGGTACCTGGAACGGTGAAATGAGTAACGCGATTTCGATACACACCAGCACGGAAAACAACATGATGAGCAGATGTGGCCTGTATGGAAGGACATCCGCCATGTTGGCACGTGTTAAATTACTCCTAACGAAACACTACTTCTGTGTTCCAGGAGGACACATGAGGATGTCTCTATGCATTCCCTGCTCTGGGAACCAGACACAGGAGACACAGGAGTCCCTCGACAGGTGCAGGGCCAGACAATGACACTCTTTGTATTTTGCAGTGAAATACTGTTCCTTGAGACTTTGCAAATTTGCGCCTGGACAGAGATTTTTTACATAAACAAAGACACTAACCTGCAGTTCTCCTTCCCACCATCCACCTGGGTTCTTTTTCCGGATCAAAATCAGCTGACCAGGAGCCAGGGTGAGTTGTTCAGGACCAGTAGCAGTGTAGGAAGCAATAACCTGGGCAATTTCTGAAAAACAAGATCAAATGTTGTGCCGTACTGTCAGAGCGGGGGAAGGAGTTCCCAGGATGACAGCCGTCTCCCAGGACCAGAGGCACCCGTGGCTTGGCCTCTCCTGGAAGACAGGGCCAACACATCTCTCCATTCAGCTCAGGCTTCTGTGGGCCCCTCACATCTCCTGACTCACCAGCTCCCTGCCATGAAGTTCCAACCTGCCTGTCCTGTGCTTCCTGTCAAATCCCACAGTTACTATGAACCCTGTTGAAGGGCCAGGTGCCTGCTACCCCCAGCTCTGGGAATCTCAAGGATGTTTCCCTCTGCTTGGACACTAATAGGAGAAATTTGATTTTCCTCAGGAACCTGCAGCTCACTTACACGTGGCTTAGGACTGTGCAACAGTCAAATCAGCCATGGCTCACATTCTAGGAGCTATCCATGCATTTATGGTTTCCATCACAGAACCATTAGTTTAACTTCTTTTTATTCTAAGTTACAAGAGGAACAGAGTTATGAGAGCTTAATCAAAAATAGTAATTCTGTATAGAAATAAAGCATGCAAATAGTTCTATAGTTTTCCTGAATCTTAAAGGTCCTTTGAGAACACTCCCGGCAGGACAACAGCTGAGACGCTGAGGCTGCATCTTCCTGCATGCATACGGAACACTGTTCACTCTTCTGCACTCACCCGTCTCAATGAGCCCGAAAGAGAAGAAAGGATAGAAAAGATGGCAGGAAGGAGTAATGAAACACAGAAAGACAGAAAGAGAGGGGGTGGGAGAGGCCCCAAGCTCTAACAGCTACTGTTCCACTGTGTCCAGAGCAGGAATGAGATCCTGCCCCTTTAACAAGCCCCTATTACTCTGTCCTGCAATCTGAGGCTGGCCACCACAGTGGGAGGGGCTGCTTGGGGCTTCAGAAAACTCAGGAAGGCAAAAGGCCTGGAGCTCAGCTCATGGCCAGTCTGGCTCCAGCCAAGAGCTTGAGCAGGGATGAGGACACTCCTCTGGCAAGCCAAGGACAAGTTCTAGATTCCAAGTTTTTCATTTGGAGACAGTCCCAATTAGCGTCCTATTTGGCACCAACTGTCTCTGCTCCTCAAAGGACCTGGCATACGGGCCAACGATCTGCCCTAGCATTCTGAAGAGCCCATATCCCCGAGCGGCTTGCTAGTGTCAGGGTAGAGCGAGGCCCACCTGAGCACTGTATGAAATACTGGACCCTCTGCAATGACAGATGTTGAGAGTGAAGACAATTCCCAGAAAGAGCAGATTCAGCCATGTGCTCTGGCCATGTGAGCCCAACAGGAGCTGAGCATGTAGCTCCTCTAGCTCAGCAGTGTCCATTCAGATCTATAATTTCCTAAGGATATGACAGCAAAATAGCGCCAATGACCTTGGTTGGGAAGACGGGCCAGACCAGCCATGCCATTTCACAGCTGCTTCCTTCCCTTTCATTCCACTATTAATAGAACATGTGATTTTGCTTAAATAAACTACAAATCCAGCTTCTGAGGCATGCCTTTCATTTTGTGCCTTCAGTGTTTGCCGGGGAAAACCACCTGATGCTAAATGGATGAAACCCACCATGTGGTGCAGTCTACTGCAACTCTGCTCACCACGGCTGGTGCCACCGGGGCTTCGTGGGCATCCGCCCCTGCAGTCTGACGGCTTCCCACCGCTCCCCACACTTGCAGCCACCCATGCACTGTCAGGGGAGATTCCTTCACCTCTACTTAGATTTCTGGCTGCAGTAAACAAAGATTGGGAACTACTACCAAGTGCATTCATTGACGCTGAAACACAGGTGTTGGGGTTTGTAACTTACCAGGTTTTTTTCCTAAACTCCCTGTTTTCCCAGCAGTTCCAGAGCCCTTAAAACAGAGCAGAAGGTCTCATTTGCATGCTGAAGAGGTGATCACACAACTTAAGAAAATGATTAACAACACAACCCCACTAGAGTCCTTAAATCCCTCTTTTCATTGGGGGAACATGGGAGCACATCTATCGGGAGACGGTGCAAACAGGAGGCCTTTACTCTGTGACAGGGCAAACGTGTAGTCCTGCAGGCCTGGAGGCTCAGGCTCAGGCGACACACGGCACAGGCACGCCCTGATTCCGGGCGAATGCAGCATCAGGCCCCGCGACAGGACGATGCTCCCCTCACAGTTCCCGGTACCTCTGCATGGCTAGACAGGAGGCTCCTGCAGACCAGGGCCCACATTCAGACTCAACACATGGAAGCACTGATGTTTCACTCACTCTTTTCACACTAGGATTTAAGGACTGAACTAGCATCGGGAGGAGGGATCCCACCCTTCCCCCTCACTGCTCTCCTGCACAGTGTTTCTACCCAATTTCACACTGTCTGGGCACCGACATTTCTCTCTCTATGCTGGAAGCACAATTGTAGAAGCAAACCATGTTTGCTTCCCAACTACTGAGTGTTCCAGAAACACTCTGGGGTTGAATTCCTCCCTGATAGCCATGGAACTTTAACCCAGCTGAGTCAGCCAGTAGAGACCATGAGAGCCAGGACAGGGGCCAGAATCTAATCTGTGTGACAAAGTGCTTTATTGTCAATTAATGCTCCCCCTTGAGTGCCTACCCTTGTAGTAAATTAAGCATTTCAATGGAAATAAAGCGAAGGATTTAATAAACCAAGACAGTCACTGTAAAGATAAAAATGTGCATTATGCCAACAAGGAACCCATTTTATCAATGCTGCTATATTTCTTGCCACTGAAATCAAATGACCACTGAAGAGAAACAGTTTGAAATGAATTTTTATTCTAACTAGTGAGTTTTAATTAATGAGCACAATTATAAACTATCAATTTTCTTGCTATTTTTATGGCCTAAATATCAAATAAAGAATAGCAATGAAAGAATCAGTTACTTCCCGTATGTGGGCTTATAATAATTCCCCATGTTCCACATGCAGAGGAAAGCAATGGACACTGCCCAGCCACAAGCCAGGGGTCTCCATCATCTTCCCTTGGAGAAGCCGCGGGGAGGAAGGGACGGAAGGGCAGCTCCTCAGCCCAAGGGCCCAGCCTGGTGTCCCCACCAGAGTGTACTGTTTCCTTTGAAGTTTGTAGGAAGCTTTGCTCTCACACTGAACTTTGTATTTTTATTGTCATTTGAGTATATTTGATCTAAAAATCTTAACCGGTAGTTATCCCATAGCCAATAATTTAATAACTGACGGCAGTGGCAGGAAACTCCTCACAGTCAGCTGGCCTTTCAAAGCCAGCACATGCTGTTCCTGTTTAAGGGTTTCAGATGCTTTCAGACAGAAAGCTGTGATTTATTAAAATATAATGTAAGAAGTAGCCTTTACATTTTTCAGTTAACAGCTTATTTTTCTTATGTTACTTTAATATGTATCAAGACTATCTTTGTATACATCCATCCATCTATCTATCTATCTATCTATCTATCTATCTATCTACCTACCTACCTACCTACCTACCTACCTACCTACATATACAGGAAACTTCAGTAAAATGTCAATGAATAAATTACAAATAAGTTTAAATGCCAACCAAATGGTCTTTTGTATCCCACCTGTTTCAAAAGAGGACCTCACTTAAGAGTTTTTGTGTCTCACAGCAGGAACTGGAGCATCCTACCCCTGAAATACCAGCTGCATAATCTAAGGCCAACTTGCGGCCCAGAGAAGCGCTGGAGTTTCCCTTTCTAGGTCTCAGGACTCCACAGGCCAGCTTCTGACACGGGAAAATGACTTCTCCCCGGCTTCTTTGCAAACGCCCAGAAGTTAGCAAGTTGCTCTCCTACCACAGCAAGCATTGTAACTCAGAGTTTGAAAGCGCACAGAATCGTTCCTGGGGTGGGAAGGCCAGTGCAAGTGTACTGCAGAAGTCTCTGGTCCATCCTCACCAAAGCCACTAGGAGCCCAAGGGCCTAGAGAAGAAGCCCGTGCGCACTCCCTGCCTGGCATTTAAGCAACAACGAGTGCCTTTTCCACCCACTTATTCTCAGTGATGCAGCTCCACAGGTCCTGCAGTTTCTCTCTCAGACCCGAGGAGATGTGAGGGGGAAAGAAAACAGCTACGGATTTACTGTCCTTAAAAAAACCCAGGTTCATTCCTGTTGGTTTGTCTCTATGAGTCTATTAAAAAGCTATGATCATGCCACGAAAATCCCTTAACTTGAACTTGGCCTCTATAAAACCCTCCAACCCCAACCATTTCATTAAGTTTGCACCAACTCAAGACCACATTCTATGCAATCAGATATCTAAGGATAGTGGCATTGCCCCAAACGTACCAACCTCTTGGAACTTAATGTCTTTGTACTGTGAGACAAAACACAGAGCTGAACCAGAACACCTTCATTTACAGCCAAGGGCTGCTGTGCATCTAAAAGCTAACGGCCATGCAGAGCTAATCAAGTAATTGTAAACTGGTTACTGGTAGGAACACCAACTCTGCACACTGGAACAGAGCAATGAGGAGAGCCCTGGTGCAGTCTCCACTTAACCCCGGAGTTCTGCATGGAGGAAGCACCAAAGGACACGGTCAGACACTTCAGTTACCACAGCAATCCAGAGCTCAGCAGAACCCAACAGTGTTCCACGGTCAAACATCAACTCCCCGCCAAGAGAACCACCACACAGAGAGAGGGAGAGCAAACAGTTAATGTGGGTTTACCTCTGAATCTTTAAGCCTCACATAGTTAGAAGGGAAGACTCCGGACTTGTCGCCCACCGTGCCCGTCCACCAGTCACCATCTTTCTTGGTAACCAAAATCACATCCCCTTGCTGAAAGGTTAAATCTCCTTGCTCAGAACTCTCGTAAGTGTACATGGCAATAAATTCTGGAGAAATATTGAGATACGAAGAGAGCTTGATTGTTTAAAGATATCCCAGACAGCTTTGCAAAAGCAAATTTATGATTCAGGAAGTCAGGGTGAGATCCATTCAAGAAAAACTAGCCACAGATTAAAACACAGGGCTGTGCCATTCCTGGGCTCCACTTCCCCACTGCCTATACACATGCAGTGTAGGCAGAGAGGAACCTCTGTGAGGATCCAGCTGCAGGAACACAAACCAAAGGCACTGTACATTTCCTGACTGAGCATCAAGAATGATCTATGATCTATTTACATATGTCGCCTCTTTAAATAAAAAATGTTTCTCATTTAGCTTTAGCTAACGTTGATTGCCTACTTTGTGCTATGTACAGGGTAGGGCGTGCTCACATGCAGGCTCTTGGCGTGCAAATATTTCTATATACAAATATTTGTATGCAAATATTTCAGATACACTTCACCCTTTATATCAATCAAATGATACGCTTTTCGCTATTTAATTCCTCGAGTGAATGTCTGAGACATATATTGTCGTGTATATAAATGGTTGGGGACTGTTTAAGAATTAAACAGTAGGCATTGGTTACGGCTGGACATCTGCTTGTCACTCAAGTTGCATAATCAGGTATGGGGATTGATGACCCAAGGAAAGAGCCAATCGTTTCTAACAAGCTTATTAGCAATTATTCCTCATGTGGTTTCGTCTCAAGGAGTAAGCGCTGGTGTTCTCTAGGGACTCCAGTTGGAGAGGTATAATCCACAGGAACGTCTCCCTGTAACTCTAAGGAGAACTCTGCTTTGCTTTGAATTAACCCTGAGGCTCAGAACAAAGTCATAGTCAAGATCACAGGACACAAAAATTCTAGTCATTAAGTACAGAAGATTTACAGAAAGAGGTGTATGTTTCTTCTTTCTATGTTTTATCCACTTTGTCCTAGGCCTTTATACATTTTTAGAAAGTAGTATAAAAATCAAGTTTTTCATAAAGCTTACTCTCAGGACAGCCTGTATTGTTACACTGTAACATAGCTTACATGAGTCAATACCCATCAAAGCAGAGTGCAAGGCTGGCTAGCAGCTGGAACTTTGGTATAGAGATCTCCACTGGCCAATCTCACATTTATTATGTTTGTGGCTCATCTGGAGGTCAGATGGCAGGGTCAGCAGTCGGGTCTCCCCTCCACTGTGGAGCTGGGAATCACATTCGGGCTGTCAGGCTCGGCTGCCGAGTCGTCTTGGCAGCCCCTCCCTGACTATCGTGAACACCTTTGTCCTAATGAAAACTGAAGTACACAGAACCAAACCCCTAGGGTCTGAACCACAAAGATCTCCCTCAGAGGACCGGTGACCTGTGTTTGAGCCAGCACGGACTGCTAGATCCACAGCTGACCGGGGTCACCCAGCTGCCCTTGGGCCTCCCTGGTAACGTGAAGCTCCACAGTTAACACTGAGAAACCATAGCATGCCCGCAGAGATCGCAGCTCTAACAGGGCATTCTCCTTTCACTCTCGCACGTACTTGATGTCTCAGTATTCTGGACACTGACGGTCATGTCTGCCCCCGTTCACCGCTCACTACCATCCGGCCACTTCTGACAGGGTTCTGGGCATTCTGTATCTTTTCCAGATTATCCAATATATAAATCACCCTCTCTAAATCCATTTAAAATTTTGGAGTATCTTTCAAAATGTTTAGGAAACTCAGAAGTGGGAGCGCTAGCTGAGCGCAATGCCGCAAACGTAAGGGGCCTGCAGGGACTGAGCATGCCCCGCTCCATCCTGCACAAGGCTGTGGGAAGCCAGAGTCCAGGAGAGAATTCAGGGGGCTCCCAGCAGGCTCCCCTTTCAGGAGACACTAAAGAGATAGGCACAGGCCAGTTCCAAGCCACTACTTTGACCTATCCAAATGGATAATTGAAATCTACAGTTTAAATGAGATGATGCTTAATGTATTATTAACAAGAGGCTCATTAATCTATCGGTAGCCTTTCTCAGAATTTCCACTGTCAGTGTGCTCCTGTAAGCTCTCCTTCCACGAGGCCAGCAAGCTTTCCCGGCTTTTCTAATGCCCAGACAGCCACCACCTAGGTAGGAACTGCCTCTGCTCTGCGGCCTGACTGGAAGAGTGAGTGAGGGTCTGCTGTGACCTACTTCTTAAGACCTCACGTGCTGCAGTCTCTGTACATGTTCCTTCCACACCGCTGTCAGATGAGAACGTTTACTGCTCTAACTGCCTCTCCCAGCAAGCAAGGACACGAGGCAAACAGAAAAGGGGCGGGCATTGACTGGCTTTCATTCTAAAAGCTTTATACATTTTATCTCATAATCCCTATAATAATTTCCACGGAAAAGGATGATAATTATGCCCACTTCACAGATGAAGTTGAGGCATGACTGAGACTACATAATTACTATGAGAGAGCCAAAATATGAATTTTCCCCCTCTAGTGAGACCTGTTGACAGATAATACACAAGATTGCTGTTGTTGTTTTGTTTTGAGGAAGAGGTAAAATTTGCTTTTAATTAGGCCGAAGGCATGCTATATCAAAAAAGAGATTTTTGCCTTTTTCTAGTAGTGCTAAAATAATTATTTAGAAAGTATGAATGTACAAAGATGATTATCCTAATAGAGTTAACATAATAATACACAGTCATATAAAAATAAAAATAATAGTTATGTGGAAAATGTTGGAATTTTTTTAGTAGTGATGAAGTTTTGTAACTATGCCTATAAACTAAGCAATTTATTTTAAATTATTTTTAAAAGGCTTAAGAATGTACTAGTGCTCCTGGGAGTCGGAACTAGTGGTAACCCTTCATTTGTGCTGCCTCCGCTGAAGCAGTTATTCCAAGAACTTGATTTTCCACTGGCCAAGTTTCCAAGGAACGCAGCTTCGCCACAGTGCATGAAGTACATTCTATCGTTACATATGGATTCCAGACACCGTGAGAAGATCACCACACCCCTCCGCTGACATCTCTCACTATGGAGCCTGCTCACTGTCACACAGAGCTTAGCTCAGGTGGCCCCGGTCAGCGAGTACCAGGTAATGACTGCAGTGAGCGTGGAGAAGACCAGTGAGGCCTCAATTATATAGATCTGGGTCATTTTTAAAACCTTAAAATAATGCCTCCTTCTACAGCCTGGCACATAACAAAAATCAGAAGGGAAAGGCAATTAATCATTTGTGTAGTAAACACTGAAAACCAATGTTTCAGGCCTAAATAATCCGGCTTGGCCATTCACACAGCACAGAGAAGCGATCCGCTTCTGCTGGGTGTTCTGAGAGCTTCCGTGGACTGTGCAGTCAGTCTAAAGCGATACAATTATTCATGCAAATCAGACAAGAGGGCTACATGGGGAAGCAAGGCCGTGATTGACACATGCTCAGGACTTGACCCTTAGTGCATGCAGTGGGCTTCCCTCACTGCCAGGCATAATTAGAGAATCCAGTTTTGGATGGTTACTGCCTCAAGCACTATTTTGAGAGGACTTCGTGAAGTAGTTTATAGAAAGAGCTCCATCTCTGCTTTACCTCAGAGTTCAGGAGGAGGAATCAAAACTTACAGCCTGTTTAAAAGTGAACCAAGTCATTACGATCATTTCAGTCTGCACCGAATAATGTGCTCAGCCTCCTATGGAGCTTAACATACTCAGGGCCTCACCTTCTCCAGGAACGGCTGGCTTGGCTGCCGGGGAAGCCACTCTCTTTAGGCTAGCAGGACTTTCTGCAGGGCCAGTATCGATGCTGCAAGAAGGGGAGGAAAGAACATTTAAAATCTCACCTGAGAGTGCCAAACAACACTGGTTTTTCTCTTTGAAAGCTAGGAAAAATCACAGCTGTAGCAGCCAGCAGTAATTGGGCTCGGACACAATGAGAGCGCTAGAGGCATGAGTGACCACACTACTCCCACTGACTACACAGGACACACAAGCCCACACCGCCGCTTCTCCCACTGACTACACAGGACACACAAGCCCACACCGCCGCTTCTCCCACTGACTACACAGGACAGACAAGCTCAATGCTAGTCTCTTCAGCACTGACTAGCAGATGTCATGTGGTATTTCTGTTAGTGGTGTTCCCTTAGAACTCCCAGCTGGTTCTGGACATCCTTACGTGTTGGAATAAACAATAGCAACCTTGTGGGTTCTATGCCACATGCACACGCTAATGAAGAAAGCCATTTACTCATTCTTCCACTGACACCCCAAATGCCTTGATCTTAAGTATTTGCATGTATTCAGCACTGTACTGGGTACTAAGCAGAAAGAGTCACATCCCAATCAGTTCAGGGATTCCTAGACAGGTCAGTGCACAGCATGACACAAAGGTTTCCCCGACAGAAGAAAGCAATGGCTCACGTCCTTCACACACACATTCTAACTTTTTAGAGGACAGTCGTCCTGCGGCTCCCACCAATGAATCTTAACTAGCGCAAACAATAATTTCTAATATGGTTTTCATCAAATAGAAGCAGATAAATAAAGTACCTTGAAGCTTTCCTGACGGGACCTGAAATGAGTTTCACGTAAGACTTGGGGAACCAACCCTTGTGACCTTGAACTTCTCCAAACCACCACATGTCTTGCTGTTCCAGAACGGTGATGACATCATTTTTGTTAAAATTTAAGTGGTTGTCTTTTTTGGCTCTCCAAGGATACAGGGCTTGTGCTTGCAGCCCTTCCACTTTTTCACCCTTGTGTGGAATGACATAAAGACCTGTGTTACACCACTGCGGTTTCTTATCAACCAAGACAGATGTGCAAAGAGCGCACACACAGCCAGAGACACTGCCTCTGCCTGGCACGAGCGCTAGGCACCTTGTGGCTTCTCCGCAACTGTGCATCTTAAACGTGGAGACAAAACTGCCAGCTTCTCCCAGAGCCCCTGTCCAGCCTCCCTTCCTCAGAGGCACTAGCCGTGTGTCTTTTACATTTCACCGTAATGGGGCAGGCACTTTAGGAGCTGAATGGGATTTTGTGGGTGGACACGTGTAAACAGGCCATGCACTGGGCTGTGCTTGTTTCTCCCCCAGAAGTCTAGGCATTGTAGGGTTTTAAGGTGAAGAAAACATCACTTCTCCTCTCTCCACATAGTTTGGGATAAGCATTTTATTAACCTTAAAGTGTTATAAGTCCCCCTAGTAAGGAACTTAGTGTACAAGGAAGAGATAAAAACAGCTAAATATATCATTTGGAGGAGCAAGATACACTGCACAAAAGGTCTCCTGCTTCACTGCGGGACCAGAGAGGCAAGGACAAAGCCTGCCTCGGGACCCCAGGTCCAGTTTTACAGGGCAAGAGGCGGGCCTTGAGGGACGAGAAGCATTCTGAGAGCCAGTGCTGCAGAAGGGCACCCCAGGCCAAAGGCACAGCACAGGCACAGGCCTTGAGGTGGCAGGCTGAGCGCACTGCAGGTGGTCCAGGAGAAGAAGCAGGATCCGGGGCTGTGGGCAGTGGGGCAGGAGACAAGGCTGCAAAGGCAGGTGAGGCTCTTATTATCTATTTAGAAATCATGACGATAACTTAAAGAAATCAAACAAGCCCCACTTCAACTGTCCACGTAAATGGATAAAGAACAACAGTTAACGCGCAAGGAGAGTTGGTCCAGAGTTGTCTGCGCTTGACTGAAGTGATTTTATTTCTGCGTTAAGATCTGACTGGGCAAAACAGGAAACTTGAAACTTGGTCAGTAGCATCCATGAGTGTGTCCGTGACCTCTAACCCTTGCTCTGTGTGGATTCTTACCTCCCTATACTTACACATTTTGACTCTCTTTCACATTAGCCCCAAGACCACTATTCTTTGCCTCCCATTTCCCCCTTGCCCACTGATCCACAGAGCTTCCACCTGGCCTAGTCCGCCCAACTGCTTTAGGACTTCCAGGCCAGAACGGAAGGGAAGCCATTTGCTCTGCGTCTTTACAAGTCTGGATGTCTCCCTTGGCACTCCTTCCCTGTGTGGGGTTTCTGAGGCAGCCCGGGGTCAGACAAGATTGCAATGCGAGGGCTGAACCCCAGATTCAACTCCCGTGACACTTAGGCAATGGACGGACTTCTCCAAGTCTCAGTTTCCACATCTCCCAAGAGGGTGGCACTCTTCTGAGGCGGCCGTATGTTCAGAAAGCCCTCTGCAGTCGCCGCTGTGCTTGCGACAACAGTCAGAAGGCTACAGCACCATGATCTCTAGTCCTGGGCTAGGCAGCATGGCCAGAGAGTGGAGAGCGCGGTCACCAGGGGACCCTCTCCACTCCGCAGGCCCCAGGGCTTGCACTGACTGATGCTGTCACTGTGTGACCTCTCTGCTCCACCCCTCACAAACCAGCAGAGTCCTCATGGTTCAACTTCCTCTTACCTCACCGCACTCCGGATGACTTTCCCTGTCTTTCAGTCACCAAGAGACGGCCCTACAGGACGGCCTCTTCTCTGCCCTCAGCACCCTTTGAGGACACATGAGTACCTCAGTCCTTCACGAGTTTAAATCTCGCTCTTGGCTCCACAGCTCTCACTCACGCCTCACCCACAGCACCGCCTTGGTGGCTGAGCACCGACGGGATATGCTTAAGTGCCCAGTGTGGGCAGAAGCAAAGGCCTACTGTGCAGCCACCCTTCCCCACGGCTCCCTTTAGGGAACTGGCTGCTTCTCCCATGTCTGCTGTCCCTGACGGCCTCCAACCCCAGGATCTCACTATGTTTGCTATAGTTCGGCTCCCATCTTCCATCTCCTTCCAGACCCATGTTCTGTCAGTCTCCCAGACAGCGCTAGTCGGACGTCCCGCTTCCACTACCTCACACTCACTTCTCACTAGACTCTTCTCTCCTTCCTGTTCTGCTGTTTTCCCACTTCTGTGGCTTGGACAGAGAACTCAGCAGGGTCCAGGTTTTCACACAGAGTGCCCTCATCAGTAGCTCCAATCTTCTTGCACACCACTGCCCCATGGATCTGCCTGGTCTCTCCTCCAATTTAAGATTTTCCAGAACAGAAACTCTCTGCAATCTCCTGGGGCCTCCCTGTTTGATTGATTGATCTCATTTCATCATCATTATTGCATTAGCCTAAAGACAAGTGTTCACAGTAACGACCCCTGTGCTTTCAGAAACACTGTTCTCCAGCGGGTTTCCCATTAGCCTGAAATCGGCCTGCCTTCTCCAGGAAGGACCAAGTGGGTAGAAGGGGGTAGCCCAACGGACCAACCTAGAACTTTCTTTATGCACTCCGACTCTCCCCATGAGAGTACTGATACCTTTTTAATTGATCAGCATTGCAGCTCTGGTGTCATTCTTTCAATGCAGCTTCTCAGACAGACACGGGCAAAACAGTTTAAGCCCTCTGAACTCTGAGGATTACGGTAAGTCTCAGGTTTCTGAACTGGTTCAGTCGGCCACCCCAGTTTCATAGGTGGAGACTACTGAAGCGGCTGATGTAAACGCTAGTCGCAGACCACACTCATTTCATGCCCTCATCGACTGCCCCTACCTGGCCCAGGACGGGAGATGGGGATGAGCCAGTGGCTGTGGCTGGTGTAAAGGCCGATCTCTGCCTTAACTGGCCAGCGCTGGGCACAGTGAGAGAAGGCTGGGCTGCCCATGCATCCCAGTTATCCGTTTCCGGTTTCTCGCTTGTGCTGGTGGGCCACCTAGAAGGAAAGGCATGTCGTGAGCAGTAGGCACTTGCTAGTGCCCTGGCATTACAGGGCAATCAATCACAGTTCTGTGGGCTTCTCTAGTTGAGAAGAGAGAGGACAGAAAAGAATGCTGGGCTCGGGTTTGACTCTGCTGCATACACTACAGCGCCCCTCAGGCTGATTAGAAGGCTGTTCTTTCTCTCAACCTGAGTTCTCTAGAACAATGCCCAAACACTCTGGATTAGTTGCGAGGGTCCCCTGGATCAGCAGGCAGGAAACGCTCACAAGCACTAAAATTACCACGACAGCTAAGTAAGAAGGAAGTGTCCCACAGCAAACACCTGCTCAGATGCCCAGAGCCACAGCAGCCACAAGGGGTACACCCAGCAGGCTAGGTGTCCTGTCTCAGGACAGTCCCAGTGCTGTGATTGTATATTTTCAGTACATGCGCTCAAGGGTAGATCTGAATGTAAATGCTGGTTATAGCTTTCTAAGACCTATAAGCAAATAGGAAAATCAAAGTACCCCCCCCCCCCAGGCTGGCCATTTTGATGTTTTGGTTTGGAAAGATGCTTTTATGTACATCAGAAAACTTATACCCCACAGAACTCCTAAGGGAGGGGTAGTGATCTGGTTTACAGAGGAAATAAAACCAATCAATGACAAAAATAAAAAATGACATCAGGGCTGGGACTAGAGCCTGCCTCGCGCAGTGCCCAATGCCCCAGACTCTGCCCTAGCACCACACACGGTAGGTTTGGAGGCCTTGGTAGAAGCTCAAGATCATGTGATGAGTTTGAGGTTAGTCTGGGCTATAAGAGGCCCTGCCTCAATAAACAACCATGGTACCAACTCTATATTCTAACTGGAGCTTCACTTTGGGAAGCCAAGAGCTTTTCAAATAAGACCCAAAAAAGTAGGGTTAGTCTGATTTAGTGCTCAGCCAGTGGAAGGCCAATCTTACGCAGACGTTCCCAGGACATTCTTCAGCACCTTCACCTTTATCTGAAAGTACAGGCGATTCCTCGCACCCTTCCCTCGGCTTCTCCCTGTCCTTGGTCACTACTCTCCTCTTCCCGTTTGTTTCACCCGACCTTTCTCTAAAAATATGCCTGGATTCCTTGTCTTCAGCACTGTTTCTTCTGAAAGGTTATTTGACTTGAAAAGAAATTTAAATCCTTCCTACTCACACCCTTACTGCACAGTAGTTTGAAATATTTTTGGACAGCTGTACATGTAGGTCATGGACCACAAACGGAGGTCTAGGCGGTGGCTTCATCTATCATTTGAAACTGAATGCAATTTCCCGACGACAGGGGCATGCACCCTTCTCTACACTGCCCATTTGTTCAAGGTTAGCAGCAGCAGAAAGCGTCCACAGAAACCACTTTCTGTCTTGTTCCAAACCACATGACTGGCTGCAATTTTTGCTCCTTGCTAACAAAACAGTGTCATTTCCCAGCCTGCAGGAAATAACTGAATATTTTGCTGACTGACACAAATGTCAGCAGAGATTAGAAGGAAGTTGTACTTCTCCATTTCTTCCTCCAAAATGAACGATACAGATGAATGATGGGACAAAGCACAGATGGCTTTCTTTTGTACCCTGGTAAACTGCTGTTTGCCAATGTTATTATTAAATCTGGCTTGGAGGTCAAGGACCCCAACTTGTCAGTAGGCCAGTCAGAGGAATGAACACATGCCATGCCCTTTCAAAGACGAACAACTCAAGACTCTACAAACTGGAAGAAGAAAATGATGACTAAGTTTGGATTTCAAACCTGTCAAAGACAGCATGTGAACACGTACGTGGAACTGAAGTCTGCCCAGTTGTTGGGGGTTGTAGAGGGCTCAGAGGAGGCCACTGGCAAAGGAGCGGGGGTCTCACGCAGAGCCAGTTTGGGGACAGGGGCAGATGTCAGATCAGTCACTGGTTTGGCTGGAGTGGGAACCTCATTTTCTGGAATCTTCTCTGCATAGTTTGCAGGGAACCATCCTGTCTTTCCTTTCAGTTCTCCTCCAAGCCACCCTGGCTCTCCAGTTTGGCTTTCATCCACCTGTGGGAAGTCACAATGTTTCACTGAAATGAAAAGTCGTTAGCCCTTGAACACATCCATCACTCCACCGCAACACAGCCACAAGGCTCTGCCCAGGACTGACACACAGCACAGACGTCCAGAAAAGTGACAAAGCCTGTTCTACTCTGCACCGCACCCCACCCCCACCCCGAGTTCCTGACCACAGCTCAGATAAAGCACCTCAGGTCCTTGAACATTCCGCATTTTGAATTGATCTGACACTTCTCCACTCAGAAGCCACGCAATCATTAAAAATAATTTGACTTAGGTTCATTACTTCAAACAAAGAGTGCAGCCAACATAAGGTTAGTATTCTTAAAAACCCTACTAACTAAGCAATTTTTTTTTTTTTTTTTTAGAATAAGGACAAGGAGGATAGAAAACAACAGCCGTAGCTGGTTTTGCTGGGAAGCAAAGCTGACCCATGTGTTTAGAGGAAATGAAAGTTATTTACAGTCATCATCAGTTTTAGTCAAACTATAATTTTCTTTTGTACAAACTAAATTTTAGAATCCATGAAATCACACAAAGAGTAGGGCCTTTTGTTTAAAATTTTCCGAGGGGGTCATCTACTGTGCCAAATGCTTGTGTTTAACCTCATTTCTGCCCCAAAGGAATTATTCAAAATGGCCCAAGCCATCCTACATGTCCCTAGTTACTTCACTGGCTTATGAGCAGTGGGGATGCTCTGGAGGACGCCACGCTCCCGATTAGAAAGCCGGCTCCAGGACCAGAGTCCAAGGAGTTCTATTCTCACACCACACAATGGCCTGGAGCTGACACCATCCAACACTTCCCTAGACACTCAGGTGGCTTTTCAGAACACACAGGAATAGGGTAGGTCTAAACATCGAACTTGAACCAAACTTGGGTCCTCTGAAGGGCAGCACGTGATCTTAACCATTGAGCCATCTCTCCAGCCTCAAAGAGGAGGACTCTCAGGCCATGTAAAGGGTTTCCAAGGGCAGTGGGTTGGCTTTACAGTTTGATAGCTGCTGTTCACACTCACATGGCACACACACGCCTCCCTAGCCGCGCACACTCACATGGCACACACATGCTTCCCTAACTTTTCCCCTTTTCTGGGCAGCCCTGGTCATTTCATTTCTCCACAGGAAGATTTGTAAGAATTCTGCTTCCTATTTGGATTCCCTTGAGGCTGAACTGCAATGAGGGCTGCTCTGCCCTCCTGGGTTTGTTTCCTGGCGGTGTCATCGTACACCGCCACACTGCTGGGCCCTGGAAACACAGCCGCTCCTCCCTGAGCAGGCTCAACGGTCAAGCTCTTCGACCTCCAGCTCAGGACGGAAGGAAATGTCAAGTAGTTATGAGTTTATATCAGACACAAAGGATGGTGGACCTGCAGTGATGGCGCGGGCCCTGCATTCAGACGGCCTCAACTGTCAGTCCAGGTTCTGTGGCTATTAACTGTGCACGCTGGAGGACTCAGCGTCTTTGTCTAGCACGCTCATTTTAGTGTGGTGCTTTGAGAACTGATACATCTTTGTTGTTTTGGAGACAGGGTTTCTCTGTAGCCCTGGCTGTCTTGGAACTCCCTCTGCAGACCAGGCTGGCCTGGAACTCAGAGATCCGCCTGCTTCTGCCTCCCAAGTGCAGGCACTGAAAGTGTGTGTCACCACTCCCGGCTTCTGATAAATCTTTATAACTCTGCCTGGTACGCATAAAAGTTTAACAACACAGCTTTAAAATCCAACTCTGACTTTATACGATGTTCTCATATCTGGACTTTGGTCTTGCTTTTCGATCTAGTTCACTCAAAACAAGCTTTGGTTCTCTGCTCCGGACGCCTGTCTGGAACCCTGGCTCTGGTTAACTTCTTGCCACGTCATCTCCTACAGGGACCCATGCGATATCTGACTACTGTCTGTCTGGAACTCTCACTGCCACAAACGCCAACTGCTTCATCTCACCGTGGATACAAGGAATGAGATCAGAAGTCCTGAGGCAATGTCCGGCCCTAAGGAACCACACCCGGTCTGTCACCCGCAGAAGCCCCACTGCCCCACTAAACATCCTCTGGAGCTAGAGGGACCTCTTGGCTGCTGGATGTGGTTCCAGTTCCCAGCACATACAGAGGACTGTGGATCGCTACCGCTACCCTTTCTGTGAGTTTACCTCCAGATAAATAAACCTTTTTATACTCCATTTCCTGGCTACTTCGGAACTCTTTTGAACACCAACAACCCTATCTTAAAAAAAAAAAAGCTATGAAAACAAGAAATATTTCTCCTTGGATTTGGAACACTTTGCCCAATATGCCAATCAGTTCCGAAAAACTGTGAGCCTACGACAGACCGAGAAGTGAAGTGCATAATTTATGGCATGGCAGACCCAGGGTCTATCCCACTCACCCCAGTTTCTTTACAAGTAATTCTGACAGAACATCATGGAATTGAAGCACAGACTCTAGGTTCTACTTACATTTCTGGGGTTTGGGTTCAGAGCAATTCGACAATACTAACTATTCATGTATATTCATCTGCTGGATGTAAAAGTCAAATGTGCCAAAAGTCAAATGTGCACAGTGGCCAGTCCAGATTTAAATCAATGTGGTTAATGTTTAAAGTCTAATGGCTACATGCACCCTGGCCTCCATTTCACTAGGTAGCTTTGGTTTTTCTTAAATTTCCAACTTGGTTCCAGAGGAAGTGCTGCTGGTACATTTGGGTCCTGAACGACACTCTTGGCTGTGTGCCAACAGGATGACACTATTGAGAGGTGGGACCTTCAGGAGATGGAGCCCAGTGAGATATTGTTAGGTTTGGGGGTTATATGACTTTGTAGGGGGACTGTGGGACTCTGATCCATTCCTCACCCCTCCTGCCCCGGGGTACATTATCCAACTGTCCTTTGAACTCTTAATTTTTTTAACTTAAAAAGTTATTGTGTGTCTATGTGCACATAGGCACATATGTCCACTTGTCCTTAGAGGCTAGAAGAGGGCATCAGATCCCTTGCAGATCTGATGGATTAAAGATGGGTAAGAGTTGTCTGTCGGCCAGGCAGTGGGGGCACACACCCCTAATCCCAGCACTCAGGAGGCAGAAGCAGGCAGATCTCTGAGTTCAAGGCCAGCCTGGTCTACAGAGTGAGTTCCAGGACAGCCAGGGCTACACAGTAAAACCAACCCTGTCTTTAAAAAAAAAAGGGGGGGGGGGGAGAGAGAGAGAGAGAGAGAGAAGAAAAAAGTGTCTGCCATGGTTGCTGGGAACTGACTTGGGTCTTTTGGAAGAGTTGGGTAACTCTCTCTCTGCTGTCCCCTCTGCCACGCCCACCCCTGGACCTTCTCCACCCTATGGCCCCCATCCCTGATCTAACCTTTCCACCGTCAGCATCCCCTGTACCACCCCCACAATACTTTCCTGTCACCTATATCCTACCAGTCTCCTCCCACAAGACATCCTTCTTTACTCCCGTGATCCTTGCTGGATTCTACAGCTACTCCAAGTTAAGCAGGCGAAGCTAAAGTTTCCAAGCTGGGATCCACACATGCAAGAGGAGACACAGCACCTGACCTCTCCCTGAGTTGCCTTACTCAATATAATTTTTTCCAGTTCTACCTGTTTAAAATCTTCCTAACTCCATTGTCCCTATGTCCCACATTTTCATTAGCTATTCATCAGCTGATGGGCATCTAGGCTGATTCCATGGCTCACATGAATATAGCAATGAACATGGAGGAACTGAGCATCTCTGTGGATCAGGATAGCGTCCTGTGTACATATGCCCGGGGTGGTACAGCTGATCACATGGAGCTTCTATTTCTAGCTTTATTATTCTTATTAAACTTTGTGCATGGAAAGTTATATAAGGAAATCTAACGTCTCTTCTTTTCTTCTATGCAATTTAAATTTACTTTATTTGCATTGACGTTAAGGCTCCAGATTCCTCCCCTGGAACTGGAGTTACCATGTGGGACTTGAACCTGGGTCCTCCAAGCAGCTGATGCCCTTAACCAGTGAGCCATCTCTCCAGCCCCCCAAATATCTTTTATAAGGCAGGAGCCTAGAGGACAGGGAATCCTTCCTTTAGAACACTAAGCAAGTCCTTTGTGGTGGCACACAAGAGGCTGTAGACGACATGCGAATATATGAGCCTGGCGTGTTCCAAAAAATCCATCTGAAGCACAGAATTAGTCAGCTCTGGCCTGTGCCTGTAATTGGGTGTGCACACTAGTCTCTCAGTGATGTTCAGACCAACTGTGACGTGAGCTGAGCTCAAGTGGTAAGATTTTGGAAATCTAAAGAAAGTAGAAGAAAATGCTTTTTATATTAAGTTTTTTCTTTGCAAGTAGAAAAAGAATGCACACTCTTGCCACACAGGGATGAGGACTTGAGTTTGGATCCCCAGAATCCATATAAAAGCAAGGAGTGATGGCTCATGCCTATGATCCCAGTGCTGGGGAAGAGGAGACAGGGCGCAATTTCAGCACCAAATGACCAGGTAGCTGGAAACTGTGAATTCTAGAAGTGATTTAGGATTTGCTCTGACAGGACAAAGGGTGGGGCTAGACCATAGGTTCCTGAAGGTCACCCCCTAATGAAAGGACTGGAGAGAATTCTGAACTGTGGATTGAGATTGAAAGTTGTTAGAATGTCAGGGGCTAAGCAAGGCAGAGAGAGAGGGAGAGAGGGGAAGAGAGAGAGGCAGGGGGGGAGGAGGGGGGGGAGGGAGAGAGAGAGGGAGAGAGAGAGAAAGAAGGGGGAGAAGGGGAGAGGGGGAGAGAGGGAGAGAGGGAGAGAGAGATGTTTTTCCCTAAGAGTGCACGGTGTGTGGAGGTGGCACACGGGGTGGGGTGCAGACTGCATGTGAGAGTCAGAGGACAACCGTAGAGTTGATTCTCCCCCTCCTTTCTTTCCATGGCTCCGGGGATCAAACAGGCCGGGTCAGGTTTGCTCCTTTACACACCAGGTCACCCCGACAGCACAGTTACTTTTTTCAAATTCCTTGAGCAAGTCTGACACACCTGATGCTACTCCCATCTTGGCACCAGCATTTATTCAGCTGGTGTTCGTTCCGCAGATAAATCTTAACAGAAAATGGCAGTAAGTTCCTCTCACTGCTTATCCAGGTGTGTGACCAGCACACAACAGTAGGCAAACTTCTCACACACGTGCACGCGCGCGCACACACACGCCGACACACACCCTGGAAAGGGCGACCCCAGAAAGGAGGCCATCGCAGCTAGAAGAGTTCCTGAGCACATCACTGACACCGATTCCTTTCCTCTGCGTTGCTAGGCTGCTGGACAGACAGGGAACCACACCACAGACACGGTTCATCTGTTCCTCGTGCCTGTTCCAAAAATGACTTAAATATTCGAATGACAGACATCATCTTATATTTATTTATTTAATCAAACCTTCAGAATATGGCAACACACAAGATGGCACATTAAACTGTTAACAGTGAAAAATAGTTTGGGAGTAAACTGGTCTCAAAGCAGAGGTTCTAAAAGCAAAGTTCTTAAGGACCCTTCCCTCCTACAGCCAAGACTTCCTGTAGTCAAAAGGGGGAGCATGGAGGACTAAAGTGGAGCCCTGCGATTCCTCAAGGAAGCCCTGAGGAATCGGAGAAACCGATGGTTACAAATAAAAATAAAATAAAAAATAAAAGTGAGCCCTGGCTTATGCAAAGGCAAGAGATTGACAAATAACTTGCCAGTCTCTATTATTTTCATGCCCATGTTTCTTAGGAGATGGAGGCAGGACAAGTAAGAGTTTGAGGCCAGCCTGAGCTACATGAGACCCAGTGACAGAAAGGAAGGAAGGAAATAAATAAGTGGCTTTGTAAGCCAGGAAATCATTCTAATCTTTTTAAAAAGAAAACGTTTTGAACATTTAATTATAAATTTAATCTACCTGGAACTCCTGGCGTTAGGTGGAAACCTTGCCAAGTGCAGAACCTGCACATTGAGTTCAGCAAACAGAACCCAGCACACAAACCCTCACAATTTACACGTTTCTTTTCAGTACAACCCTACAGTACGAATTCCAACATGTTTTCACTGCCATAACATCCAAAGATCCGCTCACTTACACAGAATTAAAGCGACTTAAAGAACGAGACACGAGCGAGGGGCAGACTTCCTGACAGGAGGCACTTACCCTTTCCCTTTTAACCTCCACCAGGAAAGCAAAGGGTTAAAAGCAAGGCAAAGATGTTTAATGAAATGCCGCACCTTAGACATCTAAACTCTACTCATTGACTCCAGCTGGGGGTAAGCTAGGCGACTCCAGGAAAGGAGTCAGTGCCATTGTTACAGCTGCAGGATGGAAGGTTTCCCCTCAAACAACACAGACCTCTGCTCAGTGCCCTAGGATGAACAACACGTATGTCTCAATTCTTAACTTTCAGTTACTTGTGAGTGAGGAAACTCAAGTTGTCATTTAGAAAACAATTTAGATCAACCACAGCGCTTTATTCTCCTTTAAAATGAGGTCTTATAACGTTTCAGTTCTAAGGCTGTATTGGGTTGTTAATATACATACGCAAAGAGCATAAACTGCAACAAAGCAAGCTGAACATTTTGTTAATTTTCTAAATAGTAATGCAGATTCTCTGTATTTAATTCATTACTTAAAAAAACAAAACAAAACCATAATTGGCAGCAGCTGTGAATGAAGGAATTCTGCATTTGTAGCTATTTCTTAAAGACTCTTAGTCTAGTCTTAGACACTATCAGGATTATAGCACTGAAAGTATGCTACGGTCAATACAAACATTGTTGCTAATGCCTGCTGTCTAGACACACTTTTGAAACAAAACTTCTACTCTGATAAAGAGAAAGGAAGGTTGAGTTGCTGCTTCAAAGACCTCGACCCTGCATCTCTAAGTGTCACACCTGGAGATTTCCTGATTGTGCAACAAAGTGTAAAGAAGAGGACAGATGCCAAATTTGCCACCTTTGCCATCAGGCAGCCATCTTTCTTACCATGACTACATCACCCGGCTGGATTGTGATTTCATCATGACTTCTGGATTCAAAGGGGTACAACGCTCGGTAATACACCACTTTGACGTTGTCCTGCGCAGAAATTGCAAGCGGGCCTTTCTCTGTTTAGGAAGAGGAGGAACACATTACAGGAATCGCTGACATTGTATTGCAAAGATTTCCACCCATTCAAGGAATTTCTGAAACACACACTGAATGCTAAGAGAGAACAGATCTGACAGGCGCAGCTAAGATCACTGATAGCTCATCAGTGGACTCTCCACAAGAGTTCCCAGAACCGAGTGTGGTGGGCGAGGCAGCCCAGAGAGCCTTCTCTGCCTCTTGGCGTGGGCTCTAGCAATACACATCTGTAACTCATCAAGAGTTCTGCTCCCCACCCAGCAGGTCTGATGGCTGGAGAGCTTTCTCGCAGGGGAAGAGGAAGAGAACACAGCTATCCACATAAACAGAGGTTGGTCTTTGGGGTACTTAACAAGATCACATGACCCCAAGTGTTGACGTCACACAACATCCTAAGGACCCTGGGAATTGAGTCTTCTGCACTTCTGGGTAACGATTAAGCCCAAGGGTGAAGACAAATGAAAACATTTTAGACTTTAAATCAAATGAAGAAATTCTGAAATGCATTCAGGCAGAGGATACTCTTGGATTCTGGCTAACAGTTAATTACAGCCCTCTGAATTTTTCTACACACTAGCTTGAAACTTGGCAGCCATCTTGGCTGAAAAGCAGTGAGGTAGATAGATTATTATCTCTGTGTGAGACGCAAAGGTTCCTACTGACCTAAGGGGAAAAAGCATCCTCAGCTCATACTGAGAAAAGGCACAGGGACTTCACTGGCCCCGAGGTTAAAGGAACGTGAACTCCTCTTCAGACCACAGAAAAATCACCAGATAGTAAGATTACTCTGCCCTGACACTCCTACGTGCCCAAGCCAGTCCTTCTTCCAGCTATGGCACTTTAGGCTCCTGCTCAGCACCACACCTCACACCCATCCCCCACTGTGTGGCCAGGGAGCAAGAAAACGGTTTGAGGTGTGTCAGGGTGTTTCTTGCTTATGTGGTTATGGATTTTGAAAATACATTTCAGTTTGTACCTGATATTATCTAAGGGATAGCTTTTATTAGTTAACTTTCTCTGAACAAGTTTTGGTCAGTCTTTTACTTATTTAATTTTTTAAAGAGGCAAATTGTACTGAAAGAGCAAAACACCCAGACTCACTTTGAAATGGCTCAAAACCCAGTGTAGACAAAAAACAAACAATAACAAACAACAACAACAACAACAAAAACAGTTGAGACAGCTTAGCGACTTCAGGGAAAAACAACGAACTAGAGAAACAGTGAGGATTTCTGCAAAATCGGCCAAGCTCAGCATTTGTGACACACATACTAACAGGTTTGGTAACAGATTCTGGCCACTGGGATCAGGTCTGCGGGGGCTCCTGGATATCAGTGGAGGGAGGCTATCTGAATGCTCCTGAGGAGTAAAGAGCTACGGTATCCACACAGACAGACATCTGTCGGTATTAATATAAGCAAGGGGAGTGGTGCACGCCTGTAGCCCCTGCACTCGGCAGAGGCAGGCAGAGCTCTTTGAGTCTGAGGCCAGCGTGGTCTACAGAGTGAGCGCCTGCCTCAAAAGCACAGCCGTCAAGACAGATCCTGATTAGACAGGCATTGCTCGGAGGCTCTGGGAGATGACATCGTCTGCTGTACACACACGTACATACATGGGGTGACTCTGATGGGACCTGAGTCACACAGCGCTCACACACCACTGAACAGCCTCCACCCCGTCTGATACCTGTGGTAGACCAGGGTGCTTGGACAGCTGGCTTAGCCGGATCTTGATGCGGATGGAAAAGCCGACTCAGCTTGTCCTGTGCTTCCGGTTTGGCTCTCTCTTCGCCCTCCTTCTTTTTGACACTCTCTTCCCTTTTCAGTTTGTCCTCCTCGTGGGGTCTCCGTGGCCGTGAATGTTCCTCCTGCTGCACGTGCTCCGGCCACTGCTTGTCCCTGTCCTGAGCTCGTCTGCCAACAAAGACGCTTGGTTACAGCGAGGAAGCCGCTCGGACCAACAGTCCGGCCCGCATTCCAACAAAAAGCGCCCCCTAGTCAGAGAGCTGCGGAGCATCAAGGAACGCTGCTCTGCACACGGACAACCGAGCCCACAAAACGGTCTCTCTGGCGTTGAGCAAAATGAAATCACATGGTTTAAAAAAGCACAGAAAGAAAACAATGTATTTCATAAAGTGGCAATAAGATCAAGGAAAAGTACACCTCAATGCTGAAACTGATACTAAACTACAAACACCAAACCTCAAAACAACCACAGAACACGGATGAACATAAACTTTATGGAAACAGAAATATCCAACATACTGTGGACGGGTACTGCCTAAGTGAGCGCAAGACTGTGAGATTCCTACAGTTCCCGCCAGGCAGGAGGCACCAAACCTGAAGGTCAATCAGAGGTTAACTGACATCTGGGGCTGGAGAGATGGTACCGGGTGACTTGGGTTGGTCCCAGCATTCACAGGACAGCTAAAACCATCTGTGATTCCAGAACCACAGGATCCAATGCCCTTTCCTGGCCTCTAAGATACCACATATACACAGTGCCCAGAGATACATTCAGACCCAAACCAAAATATACAAATAATGTCTTTTAGAAAGCACAGAAAGGCCAGGTGTCGTGGTGCTCACCTTTAATCCCAGCCCTCTGGAGGCAGAAGCAGGAGAATCTCTGTGAATTGGAAGCCCATCTAGTCTACAAAGTGAGTTCCAAGACAACCAGGTTACAAAGAGAAACCCTATCTCAATGCACACCCCTAATGCTTCTCCCACAAAAACACTTAAATACATTTGTTAAAATGTAAAAAAAAAAAAAGAAAGAGACATAGCGAGTTCCATGGATACATAGAGAAACTCTGCCTCAATATCCTTCACTTCCAAAAAGTGTCAAAGTGCATTTAATAGAGAGTAAAAACATAAGAGATTTATTAGTTAAGTTTGGGGTACTATTTACTGATACGGCTAGTTAGAATGTGTATTACGTATTCTATTTGTACGTTGGTATTTCCTACATTACATTTTCAGCTAACTTATACTCTGAGGAGTGCAGTTTCACGTGGCAGCGTTAGTAAAGCATTTCATGAACTATAGCAACAATTGGGGGCCAGGGAGATGGCTCAGCTGAGAAGGGCGCTTGCAAATGTCAAGTCTGACGACATAAGTTAGACCTGAAGAACTACATGGCAGAAGAGAACCTACTCTTGGAAGATGTTCTCTGATCTCTGCATATGCATAACCACACAAACCTGTACGAATGCACAGGCGCGCGCGCACACACACACACACACACACACACACACGAGAGAGAGAGAGAGAGAGAGAGAGAGAGAGAGAGAGAGAACAACACACACACAAAAAACCCTATAACATGAAGTTGGGGAAAACTTGAGTGAGTTAACTGACACATACGAGTCCCACTCTAAGGGGAAAACAACAACAACAAAAAGGCCCAGTGTAATAAACTGGAACGAGCTCCTTGGCATTAAAAATAAAAACATACAAACACAAAACAGGCTCAGACGCGCCTATGTGCTCAGAACAAAGCCGGCCTGAAAGACCTCAGCAGTGTCACTGACCCGATGCCCACCGTCACCGACTCACCCCAAATGTCTAGTGTCCTCCTCTTTTCACAGTAATTTCAATAACCCCTTTTTATAATTTGTAGCATCTTGCTGGGACATTTGGTCATTCTTGTTTCCTGGATTACAAAATTAACTGAATTTCAAGCAGCACACACCCATGAACAAAATCAGAGACACGAAAAGGTAACAAACAAATTCACAGACTGTTACTTGGAAAAATACTAGACAACTGGCACGGACATCTGAACAGAAACAAAGTATGTTTGTGTCCTGAGAAGCAATGGCGAATCTTCGCCTTTTGTACTCAGGCTTAGGCTTAATAATTTGCAGTTGCAAAGAAGAAGAAAGGAGCCTGAGAGGCGCAGTCCTAGCTGGAGAAGCTGTGTGGCGAGCGAGCTCGGGGGCTTGGCTTTCAAACTGTGCACTCTGACCATCACTGTTATTAACAGGCTGTGAACTGGAAACCTATTTTGGTCATTGGCATGCAAATGAGCTAACCAAGTGTCCCAGTTCCTTGTCTGCTTCCATTAGCCACATGGGAGAGCACTGGAAACTAAGGAAAAACTTCAGGGGTACTTACATATGCAAAGATTTATATACGTGTGTCTGTTTGCCCACACACACATGAGGAATAAAGGCGCCTTTGAGAAGTGAGACCCAGCAGAGCAAACCCCGGTTTCCCCGAGAGGGTCCAGTCCGACTCACCTCTGAGTTTCTTCCTTTTGCTTCTCTAACTCTAGGCTCTTCCGCTCCTGCTCCTTCTGCCTCAGCCGCTCTGCCTCGATGGACTTCTGTTTCTGCAGCTGCTGCTTGCTGTGTATTTCTCTTAGTTCCTAGGAGGAGTCAGGGCAGGTTATGGAAGACCTGAGCAGAAGCACATGAACGCTGACCAGCAGGCAAAGCCCCAGACATTGGCAGGTGACACTTCAGGGTTGACAAATGTTCACTTAGAAATTGAAATCACTGTACTTTGGCATGACTGACAACCGGTCATCGTCCCAGCGCACATTCCAGCAGGCTACAACACACTACGTCATTCCCTATGACATTTACTTATCTGTGCGGCTGGGGACTGAATCTGGGATTGCACACACTAGGAAGCCACACCCTTCCCCTGCTCCACCTCCCGGGTCTGTCTGTAAAGGACGTTGGCTGTGAGGGGTAGTGGGAGAGCAACACTGGAAAAGCCTCATCAGGACTGAAGGGCAACTAGTTTTACGATACTGTGATTTATGAATAAAACTATAGTTATTATGATAACTAATCCATACCAATTTCCCCTAGCTTTGAAAACACACACAGCATTTCACATACAATCATTGTTAAAAATTCTTTAATCCCAGTATTCAGGAGGCAGAGGTGGGCAGATCTCTCCAAGTCAGCCTGGTCTACAAAGCAAGTTCCAGGACGGCCAAAACCACACATAGAAACCCTGTCTCAAAATACCAAACCGATTAACAACAACAAAACAAACAACCCTCAGCTCCTTCTTATGAATTTGAGCCCCAAGGATTTGGGGGCTCTCTGCTCTGTGAGCTTCACCCCCCAACACACACTGTGGGGGCTATTTTTCTTCAAATCACATCTACTGGCGAGCCTCTATCCGCACAAAAGCCACATGTACAGCACCAACTGCCCCCACTAAAGCAGCAGCTACTTTCAAAGTAAAAAGTTACAATTTGATAGCAATCTTTTGCGATTTGATACCCCAAGAAATAACTGCAATTTCCTGCCAGCATACTGAAAACCAAACAAATTATGTGATAAAGTACTTAAGCTCAGAAGTGTAAGTACCTAAAGATATGAGAAACATTAGGCTAGGGGCTGGCTTGGTGGGCACAGCCTTTGCCTAGCACATGCAAAGCCCTGGCTCAGTCCCTCCTGAGAGAGAGGTAACTTACTGGACACGGGGTGGTAGAGAGTGGGAGGTCCTAGAGAGGACAGGGGGAAGGGGCTCCAGTGGGAGAACTGGACTGGACAAGCATGGAGAACGTGGCTTGACGCAGCCTGGGCTATCCCTGAGGCGGCAGCCCTAGGTATACAGCTGCTGAAATAAGGATACCTGGGGCAGGGCTTAGCTAGGAAGGGGACAGAGGCATCCAAGAATGGCCACTGGGGGACAATGACAGAGCCCCACTCTGACTGAAGCTGTAATGGAAAAGAGAAGGCCAACTCTCAGCGGGAGAAAGAATTCCATTTTCATCACCTTCCTAATTGAACACCATGGGACGTTATGACCTGACAGCATTATGCCAAACTCAGTCACACAGGCTTCCGCAATCATTTTTAAGGAAAAAGAATAATTTTGAATAACATAAATGGATAACCTGGTTACTGATTGTCTAAGACAAGCAGAAGAGATCAATTCATCTAAGCATTCTTGGCTATGGCTAAAGTTAAGTGCCACCACACAAAAGAAGCAACTGTTGGGAGTGACCCTAAATCAAACTCTAGTGTCCTGAGGAGAGGCCAGGACACACAGTCAGAGGCTATCTTGTCTATCACCGGCCCAAAACAGACCTCACCAGAGGCCGTGCACATCTGGAAAGATTGACATGTTATCTTCCTTTAAGACGTCATCATCCACAGCACAATCCCCCGGCTTCTGCCATGTTAAGAGTAGGAAGGAAAGGGAAAAACCATCTGAGGCTCAGGAACTTGACTGCATTATCTTCTTACCCACTTATTTGTGGTGTAAGCACATAAGGTCAGGAGGACATGTGGGCAGGAGTGGGGGGGCATGTGGAGGCCAGAGTCTGACCTTGGGAGTTAGTTCTAGAGAGCTGTCCATCGTGGTCACTACATAACTTGAGTTGATGAGTATGAGGGTTTTGCCTGAATGTATATCTATCTGTACATCATGTGCATGTCTGGTGTCCATGGAGGCCAGAAAAGTGCAATGGATCCCTGGGAACTGGGTTACAGAGGGTTTTGAGACATCCTGTGAGTGCCAGGTCCTTTGGAAGAACAGTGACTATTAACCACTGAGCCATCTCTCCAGCCCTGTCTACCCTGTGTGTTAAGGCAATGTCTCTCTGTGAAAGCCGGCTGACCCACCATCTCACTCACATTTGTGTGTGGGTGCCAGGAATTGAACCCAGGTCCTTCAGCTTGTGTGTCTTCTTCAAGCTTATGTGGCAAGCATTTCACTGACTGGGTTATCTTTTCAATCCCTAGTTATGCATTTTAAAAATAAAAGTTCTTGTCGGTTTTGGTGGCACACGTCTTTAATCCCAGCGCTCGGGAGGCAGGTAGATCTCTGTGAGTTCAAGGTCAGCCTGTTTTACAGAGTGAGTTCCAGGACAGCCAGGGATGTTACACAGAGAAACCCTGGATTGAAAAACTGAACAACAAGTTCTTATATCATTTAGCCTTAGGAGGATAACGTTGAAGACATTTAACGAGAGGTATTGTGAAACCGGGCGAACACCAGCCATGAAGTCCCAATGGATCCGACAGACCACGTGCACAAATCAAGACATTTCATTTTTCCAAAGAATTATGCACATTTCCTGTCTCTGTCGAACTCAAGGAATCAGGCTGTGGCTAGAAGCTGGTGAATGAGCGAGCCAGTCCAGACAGATGGAAGCAGCTAGAGACGGGTTAGCAAGCGGCACAAAACGAAAGAGCAACAAGGGGAACAAGATTGAACCAGCTGCGAACAATCACACCAATGAAATGGCTATAAAAATAAAGCTCAAAGCATCAACCACACCGACAATTCAGAATCATACTTGGTTTTCCAGACACCAACATCACAGGTCAGGCTGAACTTGTCCTAAGAACTACCAAAAAGGCTGCAGCCTCAAGTGCCTCCAAGGAAATGGAGCTCAGGAGCCCTAACAGCAGCTGTCAAAGGCTAGCAGAAGGCTCTCGCGGCTTATGACGCGGCCTGGAAAACGGCAAGGATTTTCTGCTATTTATTTCACCCAAGTCAAACACCACTGAGACACGCAACCAGCTTGAAGTAAACTGAGGTGAGCCGAGCAGGCTTGGCAGGCATTCTGGTCTTTTTTCTTTGGATTCGGGAGTTTCAGATGATAGGAAACAATGAAAGTCGGGCATTCCAAAGTCAGTGCTTCTCAACCGTCCTACTGCTGCGACCCTTTAGTGCAGTTCACGCCATGGTGGTCTCAACCAATAAAATTTTCGTTGCTACTTCTTAACTGTAATTTTGCTACTGTTATGAATCATAACATAAATATCTGATATGCAGGATTGTCTTAGGTGACCCCTGCGAAAGGGCCATTTGACCCTGGGGTTGAGACCCACAGATTGAGAACCACTGTTCTAATATAATAACTTCTGTGCATAGCCAGAATATGTACTAAAAAGCAGTGAATGGCTTTCTTTCCTCAGCATGATGAAAACAGTATGGGACAGAGTCCGTCACAGGGGGCGGAGTTTGGCTCTTGTCAGTCGCCTTTCAACCCCGCTAAGGCTGGAGTCAGGGCAGTTATTTCAAGGTACCTTTTTCAATCCTTCAGGGGAAAATTAAGATCGCAAACATGGAGTTGAGTTGTTAACTTATCAAATTCTCCTGACAGGCAACCTAATTGAAGTGACCCTCAAAATCTCTATAAAATATACACACCCCTTAGCACACTTCTTTACTTCAAAGCCAAAAAGAAATTATAAGGCATCAATTGGCAGTAACTTGTCTCTTTTTTGTCAAATGAACTTCTTTCTTTCTAAAACTAGTCACTAAAATTATGTACTTTGTGGCTTAACACTTATGATAGTACTGAGTGTGTAAGTTCATCGGCTTTTCTTGAATTAGTTTCACTCAAGGGTATGAAATGTTTTACCGTAGACAGGCAGGCAATATTATCTAATATGGTATGCCCCTCCCCCAGTGTTGAGGATTGAACCCATGGCCTTGTGTGTGCTACACAAACATCCTACCACATAGCTGTACTTCCAGGGTTTTTTGGGAGGGGGTGGGTGGGAGTGGAGGTGAGTTGAGGCAGGGTCTTATTTGGCTTCAAATTCACTATGTAATTGGGGGTGATCTTGAACTCCCTCCCATATGGTGGGAGCATGTCACCACACCTAGTTCCTAGCCCACTTTCTTAATGAATGAGAAATCATTAAATAGGAATTCTGGAACCACTAGATACATTTTACCACAAATAATTATATGAGTCATAAGATTACAAAACATATATTATGTAAATAAAAATTATGAGATTTTAAAAAACTTTATTACAGGATAAATGACTGCCTATACTGACTGGACTGTCCCTGTTTGGTCAAAGAGGTCTTCCAGGTTCAAGCTGATGAGTGTCTAAGAAAAAGGCACATGCAACACATTATGGCTTAAAATAATTTTTTTGGTTATTGTTGTTTGTTTTTGAGACAGGGTTTATGTAGCCCTACCTGGCACCAAACCCAGAGATCCATTTGCCTTTATCTCTTAAGTGTTATGATTAAAGGCATTTGCCACCATGCATGGCTAAAATAATATTTTTATTAACAGTAACATGAGCAGAATTCTAAAGACAAATGGCCATGCATCTAACCAGAATCCATGAAGGAGCTCTGACCCTGTGAAGGCCGTCAGAGTGCATGCTCCAGGCAGAGAGGGCTCAACATATCTGTCAGAGCCTCAGAGAGTCTCTGATCAAACACCAATTATAAACCATAACTTAAAAAACTGGCAAAGGTCTGTTTTATATTAAAGATAAAATAAAAATCAGCTTGCTTTTAATTTTCTTTCCAAGGCCCAAATGAGAAAACTCACTTCTTTTCCCTGAATAATTGAAGTTTTTGAGTCATAAGACATCTTTGGACATCCTATGGCATGTGGCCAAAGTAATTCAAAAGCAGTATG